CCATGTCCTATGTAAGATGGATTCCACTTGTCACAAACCTTGAGGACTTGGGTCGAAAATACTCAAACAAAGTCACCATCTTGCTTTGATCCATGCATTGATTCCTGAAATAAAAATAGCAAATCGTAATATCCTTGAACAAATAACGTATTTCGTATACACAATCAAAAATCCCCGACAAAGACGCCAAAACTTGATGTACAAAACAAGTGATAAATCCTAGAGATGCATATGATCATATTCCACGAGGTCTTTTAATTGTAGCTACTCCAAACTAGATGCTCAAGTGACTAGAAGAAATAACAAAAAATAGGAACAAAGTGTTGAGGTTCCCTAATGAATTCACGAGTAACACATTTTCGATATGACTTGAATCAGAATATCTGGCTATGATTGGAAGTCACGGGGGTCTCGCTACCCGGCCAGTGAGTTGGTCTAGGAGTAACGCCCTCGATCCACTGTGTATGAGCGGATACACGTTTGGGTTTCTGTTCTGGCCTGGTTTGTAACCTTATTCTTTTACCATATTGGAATAAGTTAGACCACATGGAGAAGTAATATAAATACTTCTCATATCTCTCTGTAATCTGTATCTCCTTGAAGTATATTGAAAATGGCTCTCTCCTGCTCGTGTACTAGCTAACACAAATTGTGTTAGTGAACCATATAAATCTGTGTGTCTTGTTCGTTTATTGCTTTCATTTTTCCTGCTCTGTCGATCCTCCGATTTCCCGATCCGTAGAAACAGTCGTGACACACACTAAAAGAGAGAAAAAGTAAACGAGGCAAGGTGTGAAAGTAAAGCAAGTAAGAAATAATTATTTAAGAAGTATCATCTATATGAGCATGCATACTTTCTCCTCGATAAACCTATATTCATCGATGCTACGATAACATCCTATCCCTTTCACTAAGGCCATTCCCTACCCATGCATGCGCCTCTTGTGATAAAGATTTAACTAGCTAATGCGTGCTTTCGCTTCATGTCATCAACTAATTAATGAAGTGCAAGGAACTAAGGATAACACATAGTTAAGTGTGGGTATAGGAGGGCTCTTAATGCAAATGGAGCTAATTATAAAAAAATGAGGCGACAGATACCTCAATATTCAAACCCGATTCATACCAAGCACATGTTAAGTAGGGTTATATCCGCGTGGGTACGGGACAAGAGGGCTGATCCATTCTTATATGTTATTTTAAAAAAATGTTGATATTTAACTCTTTTACAAGAACACATAGAAAAATACTTTATAAGTGAATGAAAAATATAGTAAAAAGAATAATTGAATCTAAATAGTTGAAAGATTAAGTGTTAATTTTTTTGGATGAAAATGTCTACCAACCAAAAAATGACTCAATTCGTGTTGGGGAGGGTAACCAAACACGAATCACTACGAACGAAACAATACGAGCCACAAACGGAAATACTACTTTCTGAACCTTTCAGACAATTCACCTCCTCGTCTGCAAACTGAATATCTTCGGGAAAAACAAAAGATTTGCATCCCACTCCGATTAAAAGAAGAAGAAAAAACAGGCCTTGAATCCAGAATCCTACACGCAACAACCCTAAAAGACAGATCTTCAACCAACAATGAAAACATAAAGCGAGCTCGTCGACGGAGCTGACAATAGCGACTAGGTGAGGGGCGTCAAGCAGGACGGCAACATCGAGGGCAGTACAGGCGAAGCCATCCCTGACGGAGCTCACGACAGTGATGGCGTCAGGTACATTTAGGAGGGCGGCGTCGGCGAGGGCAGTGCAGGCGAACACATCCCCTACGAAGGTAACTGGCGAGGGAGGCTTCACCGACGGGAAGGCTACGGGAATCGGCGGGTTGCTACTCTCTGATGGCTAGAGAGAAGAATACAAACTTATCCAAAAGGAAATTTACTTGACTATTGGGATATCCCCACCACAAAAATCCCAAACGTTTGAACCGGCTGAAATCACGGCATGACATTAGCTAATAAACACAACTTACAAAAATACCCGGCCCTGACTATCAAACACCCTTTATTTTTCGAAATTAAAAAGGAAAGAAAGCTAGCGGGTTAGGATGGTGCTAACGGGATAGATGGTTATACCTTAAACATTAAGGTACAAATACAACTTGTAAATAAAAGTTTGGGATCAGTTAGCTTGCTAACCCTTCTAAAGGGTTGGAAAAATGACACCCCTATTAATTATAGTTATTTTTTATATTAAATTCGTGTTGCATTTAATAATCTTTGAGAATTAAAAACTTATATTAATTACATTCTTTTTTTTTAACTCATATTAACTACCATTACACTGATACAAATATCATTGCACCGATACAAATATCATTGCACCTGTACACTGAACTCATATTAATTACATTCCTTTTTTTGAACTATCATTGCACTGATACAACTACCATTTCACCTGTACACAAATATCATTGTACTGGTATAACTACCATTGCACTGAAAAAAGAAAAGTAATTAATATGTGTTTTTAATTCGGACAGATTATTAAATGCAACACAAATTAATTACCATAAAATCCTATAATTAATAAGGGGTATCATTTTTTCAACCCTTTAGAGGTAGTCACGCTATCTCGCCCTAAAAGTTTGGACGCTTGTGAGCATTTTGTTGTAGAATTTGAAATTATCTGAAGTCCATCCACCCAATAAATTCATGCATGCGATCCAGGTGGTTCGGTTAAGATGAATCACCAATCTTAATTAGTTAACCGTCACAGCTAAGTTTACATGGCAAGCATCGGCAGAAGCCTCACTACAAATTTTGTTCTTTGGCGAGATTTTAGAAATGTCTTCAGGAAAATTTGTTAAATTCCATTGTAAAGTCGACGAGGGCTCAAAATGTGAACTGCCAGTTCGAACGGAATCGACTTTCGACTTGAAACGAGGAGGTTGTCATCATTAGTTGATATTGGATTATGATCCAACCAATGAGTTTGGTCGAGTTTTTTTTTTTTTTTTGTCATAGATATTCCGAAGAGGAATAGCAAATACGAATATACACATGACCTTTGCAGGTCAAAATAAGACAAAAACGTTGGACAATAGATGTTGAACCAACGATTAGAGGGCTTGTATTGTCACGATATGGCCAACCCTAAATTACCTACGAAAAGCAAAATGAAACGAAGCACGTCGGAAGATGATCGCAACACCTGAGCTTCCTTCAGAATGACACCTCCTAGAGCGTGCACCGAATTGTTTGCAATAACCATCCGGCTGATCACCTTCACATCGCCACAACCAAAAAACATTAGTCACAAAATGAAAATACACATTGCAATTTGAAGAGTCATGAACTCGATAAAAAAATTTGTGAGTTTGCGAGTTATGCTAGTTAATTTTTGAATTTGCGCGATTATGTCCGTGAGGCATCCCAAAGCCTACTTAAGGTGGAGTCACGCGTTGTGCTACGTATGTGAACGTATGTTGTAATGTATGGTTGATGGTACAATGAACCCGCGGGCGGTTGGGCCACAACTGCACGTAGTAGATGGTCGGATCACTGCTGGACGACGATATGTAACGCATCAGTTGATCGGGCATGGTGCTGGACAGTGAGACGTAACGCAGACCATTGCCGAGTTGGGTATGCAACCGAACGGCGAGACGTAACGTGGTTGGCATACCAAGATACGTACACCGGACGGTGAGACGTACCACAGTGATTCCCTGGTATTATGCGTTTTGAGTTATGATAGAAGTAGAGAACTTCTATAAGTTAACGATGGGATAAATTATTGAGGATGAAAGTGAGAACGACTTTCATCTAAGGAAAGGAAGCGCTAATAACGTGTTTTAGTAAGGAGATTGCTTAGGGCAAGACCTTAGGTAGTAATGACGAAACTGAACCCTTCTCACTCAACAGGTTGAATAAGGGTTAGCGGATGAGTATTTCAAGAAGAGGCAAAGCGAGACGAGAAGTGTCACCGGAGTGGATGAGATCGAGGGGAACTCGGCGAGGAGCTAGAGTCAATTTAATTAGTTAATTTATGTTCATGATTTTGAGTGTATGTACTGGAGATTCAAGTTCACTGTATAAGTTGCTTAAGTATTTTGGATTGTGATTTCCCAAGTGTTAGGACTTTCGTTCGAAATTCTTAATTATTGTTAGTTTATTTATTTTAAAAAGTGATTTGAATTGCTCCAGAGTAACTAATTTTTTGTTTGAGTTATGATTTTGATTTCAAAAAGATCGAGTTGTTTCATACGCCTTCTTAAATCATAATCAATCAACAAGAATATTAAGTAAAACTTTCAAAACCCTAATGTCTTATCCTCTCAATCTCTTGTCTCTCCCTACCAAACGGTCGCCGACCATTCTCAATCTCTTTCTCTCTTTCTTCCCTAAGTCCCTTATTTTATTTCCTCGGACCCTAAATTCCTGATGTTTTGTCTAATCTCTAATTTCCAAACACCTATCCCGATCAAGAAAACCAATAGAAAACATGTTTCTATCAGGGGAGGGGAGGGGAGGGTTTTTTTAATCGTCTCATGAGCCAAATGTCTCGTTTAAATTTTTATTCCCAAGCGAAAAATTTGAACAAAATGTCTCATTTTGATGCATTGTGGGAGAAAACTCAGGGGTGGAGTTAGGTTGTAACTTGTACCTGGGGGGCCACCCCGCCGAAAAATTTAGAAATCATGGCAGCTATATGATTAATTACTTATCTTTCAAACAATAATATTGATGACACTCATCTTCCAGTTATAGAAATTAGGCTACTGGAATTTGCCAGGAAAAACAGTTAATCTATGAAATTAGGCTACTGGAATGAGACACCCAGTTACAACAAATGCTAAAAACAACACATGCATGCACATCGTGCGCAACCGATCATTTCTTATACTAGCGTCAAACAAGAGCGATTTTCTTAATTTGGCACGTACCCTTTGTTCCCACGGAAAATGCCTATCTACTTCCATAGGGCAAAACCGAGATAATTAATTACCTCTATAAACCTCCGCCATTTAATTTCTAGCTATAAAAACCCTCCCCTAGTGAAATATTATCAATCAATATTATATATCGAGAGAAGCCCAAAACTCGAGATAAATCAATTAACATGAAGAAGCCAGGTTCAGCCATAGTGTTTGCTGCTGTGGTTGTCGTAATTTTGGGACATTGCTGCAGTAGGACTACTACTGCGGCCGAGGCAGTTTACGTCTGCAACGTTGACGGCTTCCACAGCGCGGAACCTTGGGACGTGGCAAAGGCCAACCTTCTCCTGAAGTTGACATACAACACGTTCTGGCTGCCCGATCACAGCTACTGGACCAACTACACCGCCGGCGTCATCACCTTCTTCTACGGCTACGCTTCCTGCGCGACGACGATGGTGTGCGACGGCGGCAGCCGTCAGTCGGCCGATTGTTCCACCACGTACGATCACTGCGTGAAGTGCCTTAACGACGCCAACTATTATCTGACGACATCCTGTTACGGAAGAATAGGGGGCCACGTCACGAACAACAATGGCGTGCTGCAGTGTTACATGCGATATGAGCAGACCCAGTTCCAGTAGCTAGCTAGCTATAGATATGACTTACCAAATATCGAAATTTCGAATAGCGTTCTAAACTCAATTTAATTTTGGTGTGATTCCAAAATAAATTCGGTATTTCCATTCTAAAATATTTTGGTAGCGGTATTGGTATTTTTAAATATTAAATTAATTTACCGTATCAATTAATAATTAAATATATACATAAATAAATAATTTGTTCGAACACGGGGGAGTTCAATTATTACTTTCGGATAAAAAAAAGGGGGGGGGGGGGGCATGCGAGGCGCTCTCTCCTCTTTTGGGGCTCGCTGCTGGGGAGTTGGATCGTTCGATTCGCCTCCATCGTCTTTGAAACTAGCTGGCGGAATCAACAGGCCGACGTTCGGTGCAAGGATTCGCCGCCGGATGAAGCCTAGGCAACGGGATGGCCGGCTTCTCCGATTTATGGAGGCGGCGACTCTGTCACGGACCACACGCCGGAGAAGGGATTTCAGAGGATACACGGGCGCGGGTCACGGCGGCGTTGCCTGATGAAGAGATCGTGGTTATCGTCAAGTGCGGAGATTGGGGACTCTGTGGAACAACCCCTTAAGAAACGACGGAGGTTGCAGAAAATTCAATGGAGATTCTATCTCCCTCTTTCATCGGAAATGGAGGAATCGGGTGTTGCCCTGTTCGCGGGGGAGAAGATGCAAAACCCAGAAGATGGAATTGGGATCCAAATCTCTTCGGAGGATCCAATTCAAGTTTTCCCCTTGGGGAGGGGATTAGTCCCCAGGAACCAATTCTTGGTAGATCGATTTGTAAATCCCCCTTGAAGGGTGGGTTTTCTGCCGTGTTGATCAGGGATGGAGAAATGGTGGCACAAATGGGTACTGCAGGCGGCGCTGAGATTCAGAGGAACGGTGGTACAAGTTCCGATTCCAGAAGTCTGCTGGTGTGGCCGCGAAAAAACAGGGGGATTCAAATTGGATTTGTCCCGAAAAACCCTGTTTGGTTCAGCGGATATCTCGGAAAAAATTTCCGAAATCCTCAAGGACGAATTATCACTCGGCTGGGATTACCTAATCCTAGTGGAACTCTTCTTGTGAAGAGCCTCTGGGGTGCCCGACTCGTGCTGGGTCCCTCGGGGTCCCTCCCCTATAAAAACACCTTGGCAATCGGTGTAAAATCATTGTGCAGAGAGAGCGATCGAGACTTCTGTCCAGAGCCAAAATCAATCTCTGGAATCCAAGAACAGGGGTCGGGTACTGAGTTGGAGAGAGGTAAACATCTTCGACTCTGCTTTTCTTTGGCTGGGTCTCCTTTGTCTCCGACGAGGAAGCCTCGTCCCTCTAGCTCGGGTTTTGCCCAATCGACTCGGCCGCGCTCCGGTCTGACGAACCCCCGCTCCCCCGCCTCGGCGGTTTCCTTTTTCTGGTCGAAAGTGGCCAGTGAGTTGGTGGCGCTGCCTGCTGATCCGACCAGGTGGAGTTCGGCCGGAGAATCGATGGTGGAGGTTTTGGCCGGAGAATCGATGGTGGAGGTTTCGACCGGGGTGCTGCAATCTGCTCAGCCCAGGTCGACGGTGCCCGAGTTGTTTGGGCCAGATTTGTGGCCCGAAGCCTCGGCGATAAGGGATGCGAATCTGAATGTGGGCCGAAGGTGTGGTGGTGAGGCAGGTCTGTTTGGGCCGGATTTATGGCCTGACAGGGCCGGCCCACGAAGTCTTGCTGAAAGCTTGGTGGTGGCCAGGCCTCATGACTCTTTATCAGGCTTAGGGCCTGTTTTTGATAGCCCAACTTTGTCATTTTCAGATTCTGTTATGATGGGCCCGAGAGCCCCTTTTTCTTTGGATTGTTGTATTAGCCCAAAAATATTTAATCCCATTGATCCTAAAAACTTGTCTTCCCACTTGTGGCAGGTGAATACTATGGTTCGTGTAGCGGAGGATCAGGTGGTAGAATTCTCACTCGAGGAAGTTCAGTCGGTGAAATTCCGTACTTCAAGGACTCTCTTGGGAAGATTATTTTCGGAGACCATTTTCACTGCTAATTATTTGAAGGAGGGTATGCTTGAGACATGGCGGGTGCAGGGAAACCTTCGGGTATCGATCACGAAATTTGGCCTATTTGAGATTATTCTCCCAAGTGATGAGATGAGGGTTTGGCTCCGAAAAAGATCGTCATGGATTGTTAAGGACATGATTCTCCACCTGCGATCCTGGACTCCTTCTATCACAAGACCAATTTTTGATGACTAGGCCACTGCTCCTTTTCGTATTCAGCTATGGAATATAAAAGAAGACTGTTGCACGACTCAGTTTGGCCGGAAAGTGGCAGCTGGTATGATTGGTCAGGTCTTGGAGGCTGATGTCTTTGCGGCCAAAGACTAGGATGAACGTTTTGTGAAAGTGCATGCCCTCGTGGATTTTGCCAAACCTCTGCGGTCTCAATTTATGGCGGTTAGTGACGAGATTGGTAGATTCTGGGTTCAGCTCAAATATGAGTTTTTGCCAACCTTCTGCTACCACTGTGGTCGAGTTGGCCACTCCAAGCCTGAATGTGTTTTTGGCCCCCCGACTGGCACTGAACGGTTTGGGCCGCACATGACTACACGAAAACTGGGAAGGAAGATTTTCATGGAAGATGAAGAATACCCTCAGTACCGTAATGCCAGTAAGTCAGTATGGGTAAATAGAAACACTCATTTACTCAATGATGGAAAAGAGAAGGTTGCTGGTCGAGTTCCGGGTATTAATACACGCCCGCCTACCCAAGTGGAGTCCCATCCTGCTCCGAGAGAATCAGAAACTCAAAAGAAGAGAGAGGCACAAAACAAGCAACATGCCCCTGCTAAAAGCTCCTTTGGGAGTCGGTCCAGTCCCCAGCAATTTGTCGTTAAGACGTCGCCTCGTGTTAAGATTGGTGGGAATATTCGTCAACAGCAGAAGAAGGCATCACCAAGAAAGGTTGTTCCATCTTCTCGGCAGGGCACTAAGGAGCGCCGGCAACCTAGTCGGCGGGCCAAGCAGACTGCACACGGCCAGCAAGTAGTGGAGCAGATGGAGGAAGCTTTCGAGCAGTCAAGGAGGCGCAGGCTGATTTTACAAGAGGAATCTGAGGAGGAGGAGGAGGAGGAGGAGGAGGAGGTCATTGGGAGTGGGATGAATCCCCCTATGCTGGCAGAGGACCCAGTCACGGAGTCCAGGGTTCGCCCACGTCTTCGAAAGAGAGGGGCAGAATGCAGTTTCCCATCTGCTCATAAAGATGGGGGGTCCTCTCCTTCTGGTGATCTGCTGGACTTGGAGGATAAGGAAGTTGCTGCTTCATTGGAAAAGTATGCTGAGATGGAGCAACAGCAGGATTTTGACTCTGATGAAGATCAGCTAGCTGAGGAACAACATTTTGAGATCAAGCGACGGTCGCCCGCTGCTGACATCGGGCAATCTCAAAATAGCATGAAAGGGCGTGTTCAGCAGGTGGTGGAGGCTTTTGAAGCTGGGGTAGTTTCTGCAAGGGAGGAGAAGGGTGAGGTCAAGGGAATGGTGTCAGGGCTGGATGAATACGGGTCTAATTTTTTGGACCCTATCATGGAGAATCGGAAGCGCGGGCTGGATGATTTGGAGGGGGAAGTGGGGAACCCTCCTACCCCAAAGAAGCAGTTTGTGGAATCGGGTGACGATCTGGATAAGGTGGAGGAAGCCAGCCTTGAATGGCCCCCAGAGGATAGATGAGGCTTCTCGCCTGGAATGTGAGAGGAATTGGGCCGTCTCTCACCTTCCAATCTGCTTTAGGGCTTGTTCATTCCAATAAACCGGATCTCGTGTTTTTCTCGGAGACGCGACCGAACCGGCGTGTAGTTTCCCGCCGTATGCGGGGTTTAGGTTTTGCTCTTTCTCAGTGTTTTTTTGTAGATGCAGTCGATGCATCGGGAGGTTTAGTAGTTGCTTGGGCCCCCGGAGTTGACACTTCGGTGCTTTGTCATTCAAATTTCTATATTTGTTCGCAAGTTAATGAAGGAGATTTTTCTTATGTAGTGTTTTTTGTTTATATTAGTTGTAATGCTGCTGTTCGTACCACCCAATTGACCCAATTGCGATCCGTTTGTGCGAGTATCAATCAACCTTTTGTGGTCATAGGGGATTTCAATGCTACTTTGCATGAGGGGGGAAAAGATGGGGGGAGGGAATGGAATGCTGCCCAAGCGTTTAGTATACGTGAATTTGTTCATGACTCGGGGCTTCACGACCCTGGTTATCAAGGGGATCCGTTTACTTGGACTAATAAACGCATGGGAGCTGCCTGCATTCGTGCTCGTCTGGATAGAGCAGTTTGCTCTCAGTCTTGGATGGATACATACCCGGAGACGTTAGTCAAGCACTTCACTGACCAGGGGTCAGATCATCGTGCCCTTCTGCTTGCAGATAAACCATATGTTCGTTCTAGTCGGCCTCTTTTCCGTTTTGATGCCCGGTGGGCGGATAATCCGGAGGTTATGGCCATGGTCAACTATGTCTGGCAGGAAGATATCCAAGGCACCCCTATATTTTGACTGTGGGAACGCCTAAAGAAACTCCGACATTTGTTATATGATTGGAGTAGGGCGGGCACGACTAATTCCCTGCGGAATATTAAGACGCTCCAGGCTGAGATTGATAGGATAAAGTCGATCCACCCTGTTCATTGGGATGAGATCAGGACGTTAGAGACAGAACTTTCCCGTCAGTGGGAAGCAGAGGAGGTGTTCTGGCAGCAAAAATCCAGAGTTAAGTGGTTAAAGAAAGGTGATCAAAATTCTGCGTACTTCCATACGGTCACTAGGGCTCGAAGGAAGAGGAACTTTGTTTCTGGGCTTCGAAATGAGGAGGGTGAATGGGTCACTGAGGAACCCGGGAAGGCTTCTATTGCCACAAGTTTTTACCAGACTTTGTTTACCTCTGAAACTCAGGTTCCTAATATGACTGAGAGGGTGGCGTCTCTGCCAATTGCCCGTAATGTTACTCCGCAAATGAATGCACAATTGACAGCGGAGGTTTTGCCTAATGAGGTCCGGAGTATGGTCCTTTCAATGGGTTCGAAACATGCCCCGGGATCGGACGGCTTCACAGGGAAGTTCTTTAAAGCTTTCTGGGATATAGTAGGCACTTTGGTGGTTGAAGTAGTAATCTCCTTCTTTACCTCGAGTCGGATGCTGCGAAGCTTTAATCATACTTGGCTCACTTTGATCCCTAAAGTGGAATCGGTGGAGACAATTAGACAACTGCGCCCGATTAGTCTCTGTCAGTTTGTTTACAAAGTGATTACCAAAATCATGGCTGAACGATTGGCTAGCATGCTCCCGCGGATCGTTTCGGAAGGCCAGAATGGCTTTATCAGGGATCGGCAGATCATTGATAATATCCTTATTGGACATGAGTTAATGCATTACCTGAAAATAAAAAAGCAAGGAAAGAAGGGTTACATGGCTCTGAAGGTTGACATGGAAAAGGCCTATGATAGAGTTGAATGGCCCTTCTTGCTTGCAGTTTTGGATAAAATGGGGTTTAGCTC